CTCCTCCTCCTCCTCCTCCTCCTCCTCCTCCTCCAGTCCATGTGCCGATGCCGCTCCCGCTCCCGTTTCCGCTCGCCCCCGCGACTCTCTCGCTCTCTATCCGCCTTTTTCTCATCCTCCCGTCACCCGCCACCCGCCACCAACCACCACCACCCGCCCCTTGACGGGGCCCTCGAGCCCACCACCGTTTACATTTTACTTTTCTAGTAGCGAATTAAAACCGCGTTCATGCGCAGCCCGTGGAAGGGCGTAATGATTTTTTGAGGGGCGAATCGAGTGGGGTCGCCTACGGTGGTGCACGGCTCGCGCGCGGCAGAAAGAGAGAAAAAGAGAAAGGGGGGTAATAGCTCTGGGTGCTACTGTCGAGTTTAGCAGGAGCAGGACGGCAAGCGCGTGCCGCGCCGGCAAGGATATACGTATATACTCGTATACTCGCGAATCGCGCGGCGCGCATCCGCGAGCGAGTCAACGCGTTTTTGCTTCGTTAATGTTAACGAATGAGGGGGTACATAATTATCGGGGAAACGGCAGAGCGGATCCCGTTTATCGATCTCAGTCGAAACATGTAGGAACCATTTTACGCTTTCGTTCCTCTTGTTTCGGAGCACTCGTATCCCTGAATCGAAAAATTGTCTGGATCCTTTCGCGCGATACACTACATGTTTCGAGATAACATTCAAGGCGCGAATCTCGTCCATCTCTTTCCCTTTTTACCGGCTCGTAAATCAAAACCGAGGATTGATCTTTGAAACGTGCACGGAATTTGAAAGGTCCCGGGAAAAAACGTCCGAACGAATGAACGAATGAACGTCGACGTTCGGGACTGACGCAAAATTAAATCTTAATAAATCAAATGAAAATCTTCATAAAATAAAAGAAAGACTTTTTCATTTCTTTTTCGAGCGTTCGGAAAAGATGCGTAGGATCTTACGACAGTGAACGTACGTAATCTTTCTCTCTCTCTCTCTCTCTCTCTTTCTCTCTCTCGCTCTCTTAGGCTCTTCGAGCGCATCCAACATTTTTACAGCTCTCGCGGCCGGACTCGGCTTGCGGCGGCTACGCGCATTTTCGTCTCATGAACTGATTACGGCGGGGTAGAGTGCGCCGGCGGAGGGAAAGAGAGAGAAATAGAGGGAGGGAGGGAGGGAGGGAGGAGAGAGAGAAAGAGAGTGTGGCAGAGGGAAGAGACCAAGATTGCGGGGTACACGGGGAGAGAAACAGCCGCCGCGGCCGCAAGCATCAACCTCTCCCACCATGGCGCCCGTGGCCGGTTCTCTCGTTCTCGCGCGCCTTCAACTCTCACGTTCTCTCTCTCTGCGTACGCACTATTTTTTAGTCCGCACTTATTACGACAGATGTCTCATGCTCCGATAAAGAATAACGGCGGGCAAAGCGGGAGCCTTCCCCCCGCATGCTAGTCCTAACCAGGCTCGGGAACAGCAGCCCGTACTTGGTGCTTCGTCGGCTCGTGGTGTCACTGTAACGCGCCGGTTTACGTTACGCACGTCTCTCCTTTTTTTCTTCCGGCTCCTCCTCGTTCCCTCTGTTTCCCCTCTCTCATTCTTTCCTTCTCTTTTCTCACTCTCCCTCTCACTCTCTCCCTCTCTTTCTCTCTTTTTTTTTCTTTCCTTTCCTCCCTTTTTAACGTTTTTCAATTCGCCGCCACGCTTTTCAACTCTCAAGCCGGTCACTGCCGTCGCGAATCGGCAGTTGTTCCTCGGCGCGTGCAATGTCGCGACAGTGATTATGTCTATCGTGTCCTCGTCCATCCGACCTCGAACTTGCACCGAGGATCGCTGTTTCGATCGCGGGGTGTAAGGACGGAACGTGCACTCCTTCCTTCGCCAAGTTGGTCTGGCACACGTGGTAGGTAACACGTTTATCCCAGTCCGGATACGTTCACTCGTGCTGTCTCGATCGTTATCGTTTCGCGGTCGGACATTTCGTATTTCGCGGTCGAAACGAGGCCGGCGGTCGGAAGAGACAGAGAAAGAGAGAGAATGAGAGGGAGAGTGAGAAAGAATCCTTCGTCGCCGCGCTCGCAGACGTCTGTCTCGCTTTCGATCATTTCAGTCTCGCGCGTGTTCCTTTTCGTCAGTGCGGCGATTTTTGGTTCTCGCTTTACACAGTTTACGCTCCTCGCGCCGAGAGAGAGAGAGAGAGAGAGAGAGAGAGAGAGAGAGAGAGAGTGAGTGAGTGAGTGAGTGAGTGAGTGAGTGAGTGAGTGAGTGAGTGAGTGTCGGATGAAGTTTTTCGACAATCGCGGTATGTGCAGCTCGTGGTAACGTGCACAATTTGTGCGTATGCGCGCGCGCGCGCGCGCGTGTGTGTGTGTGTGCTTTGGCTGAGAGAAAGAGAGAGTATGTCTGCGCGCACGTTGAGTGCATCACGCGCGCGACTAAACGAGAGGGAGGGTGGAAATGCATGCGTACGCACATGTGCACGGTGTGCATCACCGCCAGTAATGAGGGGGTAAATCGGTTTGGACGCGCGCTACTTTGTTTCTCTTTTTCTCTTTTTCTCTCTCTCTCTCTCTCTCTCTCTCTCTCTCTCTTTCTTTCTCTCCCTCCCATACGTAAGATCCTTGCAGAACACGTAGAGAAAAAAAAAAACGGATGGTTTTCAGACAAACGGCGCGGCGATAACGAGGGCACAGCCGGGATTCAGTCAATTGGTATCGCGCGTCGTCGGTGAAACGATATGATGATATTTAACTGCGACCCGCGTGCTACACAGTGACAGCCGGTGTGGAGGAAAAGGGAAGACCGGAAGACCGTCAGACCGCAGACGGAACCAGAAGTTGGAGGATGGTGGTTTGAAATCGACGACACCGGGAAGGCGACGCACGTGAGAGCGACTCTCTGACAGATCCCCCACAAGGTAATTAACTCGGGACCATCGCTCTAGAATAAACCTCGCCTCGTTAGAGCCGCATTCGCATAACAGCAGTTTACGCTAACGACAACTCTACACATTATAGAAATTGGAGGTAATCGGCCTCATTCAGATTTTTTGGATCGCACCTCTGTCCAATTACGTTCCATCGCTCCGCGATTTTTCATATATATACCTCATGCATTATTTTTATTCGGTTACTTATTATCGCTTTGAAGAATTGTGACAATCCATTTCTTCTTCTTTTCTCGCACTAATTGGACATCCAAGGAAATTTTTTCCTGGTAAATCTTTAATTCGAAAGTCGCATAAAAATTGTCCGTATAAAAATGATTGAAGCGATCCAAGAGCTACTACTTGAAAATTATATTCTCGAATGTACTTTAGAATTGAAAATCAATGTATTTTTAAGACGAAAAATGTTTTTTTTTTTTTTTTACATTTATTCGTGTCAGTAGATATATGGCAAAGATATATATTTTTTTATTTATAGCAAATCGAATCCATTATTCCAGTTTGAATTCTTGAAACTGGAATAATTGTTTTTGAATTAATCTTAAAATTTAACATATTAACGATTAACGTATAATCTTTAATCGATGGCTTTGATTCCGATCCTTTTTCGTCACAAAGTAACTATTCCATTATCATTACATCTTCATCAAATAATTATTTCTTTTCAATGTTTTATTGTACTTTACAAGATTTGCAAAACAACGTATAATTTCGTGTAAATTTGGATTTCAATGCTAAAAATTTGCGAGAATGTTCTGCCGTTTACTCATGACGATAAAAAATTCGACATAATGGGACTCGATTTTCTTACGTAAATAAAACTAGCCGAAACGATGTGTACCGATTTCAATTCTTGGTATTTTAATCTGCATTTGTGTACATATCATTAGCCGCCAGACCTTTTCGATTGATTATAGATGAACATAAGGAATGGATTACGGTGCCTCGTGTTTGTCTCCTCTTTCTTTCCGTCTTCAATCAGCCATGCGTTTCTGTCGCATTTTGTGTGTCGCGTTTAGCACATCTTCATCTTATCGCACACGCGGCGTCGTAGCTCGCGAAATCCGAAAACCTGTCATCATTGGTTACACACGTCGCGCTATTTCTCATTCTTCATTTCCTTTCCTTTTCGGTCTCTCTCGCGGCTGCGAGACTACTCGTCTTCTAAACGTACATTATCGATTAGAGATGTACCCTCAAGTATGAAAAAAAGTCTCCTTCCCCTTTCGCCTTCCACGTCAAATCTTGCGTCCATCTTCCTCTCAGTTCGCGTGTCATTCAATCGTCTCTTTCGTTCTCCCTCTCCCTCTTCCTTTTTCGCACTTATCCTTTTTCCATATCCTCGGAGAAGTATTTTCTCCGCGCCCCGGCGCGTTTTCCCTCCCTCTCGCGACTTGTTCCTTCTTCCGTCTCGGCTTCCTCCCTCTCACGGAGAAGAGCACGCGCCCGTTCTCGTATAACGGCGACGATCGCCGGCTTTTCGTACGTTTTCGTGCGGCCTCGCGACGTACCGGCCCCGACATGAAGGGTGCGGGGGGGAGGCGCGGCGCCTTCTCCGCGACGGAGTCGCACAGTCGTGACGTGACGTTTTAGGGGTTGGTTGGTTCGCTCGCACACGGAATGCGACGGGGAAGGAGCTTGCTGCGGTGACTGCTCGCTCGCGGCGCCCTCAGTCAAGGTGCAGAAGATTCCGCGCGTGTCGTCGTCGCCGCCACCGCCACCGCCGTCCTCGTCTCGTCCTCGTCGTTGTCGTCGTCGTCACTACCGCCGTGCTGTACCGGTGATTCTCCGGTCGTCTTTCCCTTTAATCGCACGATCTTTCCTTATCTTATTATTATTACATCGCACCGTGTAACCGTGCTGAAACGCGCGCGACGATCCGGACATCCGGATTTATACGCGGATGAAACACGGATTTCGCGCGCGCGGCAAACGCGAAAGTCGCGGGTCGTGGCGCGCTCGATCATCTTTCTCGTTCTCTCCGTCCCGCCTCTGTCTCCGCCTATCTCTCTCTCTTCGTCTCGCGCGCGCACTGCGCCGTCCTCGTTCGATCGCGATCACTTTCGGTGTGGCCGACAGTTCGGGCGGCGGCGGTAGCGTGGGGGCGGTGGTGGTGGTTGGTGCGCGCGATGAGAGGGAGCGGAGGGGTAGGAGGATGATCCACGCGCAGGAAGGAAGGAACGACAAAATCGTTTAGTATTTATTTGAAAGTGTATTTACTGATATCCTCGCACCCTCGTTCGCTCGCTCGCGCAAAACGTTCGCTTCGCTTTTTTTTTTCGCGGCACAATGGATTCACGGCCGAGAATTCCTCTCTTTATCCTATTTTAACTGTACGTGTCGATCACGCGGGTGTCACGGTGGGATCGTTCGGATCGATCGCGATTTTTCGGATGGAACCTGAGTCTCGACACGAGAGAAACCACTGTGCGAATGCGTGAACGATTTTTTTCTCGCGTGTGTCTAGTGTTATGCTTCACTTCTCCTTTTGCGGAGATAAACACACGCAAAAGCCCGCCGGCTACCCGCACTCACTCACTCACTCACTCACTCATTCACGCACGCACGCACGCACGCACGCACGCACGCACGCACGCACGCACGCACGCACGCACGCACGCACGCACGCACGCACGCAGCGTCGCCCCATCGTCGTCGTGTTCGGTTCATTGTTTCGGTCATTAGCTTACGCGGCATGACGGCTGATAGGTGTTACCTCGCGATAACGCGTTCGCACTTGGCAAACTGTGATTCTCGTTGCCGGCCGAGCGTGCCTTAGAAACTATACACATCGTACGAGAGTACAACTTGTAGTCGTGTATGTGTGTTAGTGAAGGTATTGTATTGGGAGGGATCTCGATTCATCGATCGCGCGTGTGTGTGTGTGTATGTGTGTGTATGTGCGTGTGTATCTCTTTCTCAGTCGACTGGCGTTTCGTCGGGAGTGTGGTATACATAACGTGTGACACATGCTAATTTTCAAAACTCAGATTCCCCGCTCGCGTAATCTCTTTTACCCGCGCGGTCATCTCGTGGACCGACTGTGTTGCGCGCGAAATTGTACAAATAGTAACGGCGATACCGTCGGCAACAGAGCGCGCGAAAGTGGCCGATAGTCCGAAAATTGTTACTTTTTACTTATTTTTTTTTTTTTTTTACTTTACCAGTCGAATCATGCGAGACGACCTTTTTTTGTCTGTTATCAAACAATATACGCTGGCGAAGTTATCTCGCGGATTCGTCACACATAAATTTAGCAGAATGAGATAGCGCGACCCTAGATATATAGAAACTCAAAGTGAGCAGTTTCTACATCGGTATGCGATTTAAAGGGAAGGAGATACAAACGTTTCTCACTTGTCGAGTCACTTTTCTTTGCGCAGCATCATCTCGCATTTCACTTGCCTCCTTTTATCATGTAATGGGAAAAATGCGAAATCGGAAACGATTGAAATTCAGAATTTTATAATAGAGTTCCGACACACACGTACGGTATTTGATGGTGTAAATGGATTTGCAAATCTGTTATGCAGATTTTGTTATTTGTTAAAACGATCAAATGTACCGGCGGCGATAGCTATCGGTTCCAATTTCGTTAATAAACCTTCGTGCGTAGAAAAACGTTCAAAACAAACGTCTTTTTCCATGGAAACTCGTTAAATGTCCCTCGGCATTTTTTCTCAACACGCTGGCACACTCGCGCGAGAAACAAGCTCTGTAAATTTGTTTTAAGATCGTTCCTTTTTTTTTTATCATTACGCTAAGATAACACTATCAGCGCACATTTAGTGCTCCCGCTTTTATAAGTAGCGGAGAATTATTTAATCAACGTGCTGAATTGGCTCCAGCTTGACGACCTAATTTTCCCGTATGGCGAAGCGGCGAATTGCATACGGTGCTTCTTCTTAGGTTTTATTCTCGCAATCACACCGTCCCTCACCTCCTCTTTCTACGCAATTGGGCAAACAAAACGCATGTCTCTCCTCGCGCCGCGGTAAGTTTATCTATACGCCATTTCTCTATTTCTTCGATAGAATCCAATTTATTGTGTCGCTACGCATGACTGATTAATAAACGCGTCTTTCGCGAAGAAAGTTTTCGGATTATTATGTTCGGATTATTATGCGGACATTTTGTGGAGTAAAGGAACGTGTAAACATCTCATCGTTTATATCTCGATGTAATGGATATTTTATATTTACGTTTCTACGTACATCTCTTACACACACATCTCTTACACACACACATCTCTGCTCTTTTATTTTTAAAATCGACTCGAGTCTTAGAAAACTTTAAGCTCTATGTAAATTTATTTGTGGCGAATCAATTGCTGATTAGAGAATACTTTTTGTCGACGATGATTTAATTTTTCTCTACGCTGCAGAAAATTTGTGAATATCAAATTTTGTCATTCTTGTAACAAGTGACGCAAATTGAGAGTAGATAGTAGTTAAATTAATTAATATATATGACGCAAATATAAACCTAAATTCTCATGCATCTAATCGTTGTGTGTTATTTTTTTTTTCTTTTTCAACGTTTTCTTCTTATAGTCAATCTCCGGGGTTTATCAGGAATATCGTCGTACACATGCAATTGCGATTTGCTATCAGTATCGAATGTGTACACGTTGCAATTGTGTTTTCGAATGTCGAAATTGGACTTATCTAAAATTATCAGTTTGCAAGCTTATCGGCACGAGTCGTGCCCTAGGAACGGCTTGTAGTCGAAAATCTTAATTATGTGAGCGCGCGCGCGCGCGCTCACATCCATCAAAAGTTAGTTTAAGCGGCGCAGCCGATCGGGCATCGCGTTTAGATTTTAAGTGACAGTTGTGTCGTCCAATCGGTGGCAGCAAGGCCTTACTTTTAATTGCAGGTGAATAGACACAACGATGGTAGATACACAACATTTTTGTCTGCGATGGAACAATTACCAGAGCAGCATAACCTCGGCGTTTGAAAATCTGCGGGACGATGAGGACTTTGTGGACGTGACGCTGGCCTGCGACGGCAAGAGCCTGAAAGCGCATCGCGTCGTTCTCTCCGCCTGTAGTCCGTACTTCAGAGAATTGCTCAAGGTAAGACTCGTCCCTTCCTTATTCCTGTCTTGGATGGTAGCGAAGATCTTCCGGTTCACGATTCACGTGAATTTCGGAGCGGATTCGCTTGCAAGTAAATAGAATCAATTTAAAAGTCTCTTAAGGTCGGTTCTATCTTTAGTTAAACTATGTGGTAAATTTACTTATTGGATAAACAAAAGAATAAAAGAGTAAGACAGTGAGCTAAAGATTTATCGAAAAGTAGAACGATCCAACTTTATAGCCATTTCTCTGCCAATATATAGATTAATTTTAATCTAGATTTCATTTACTCTTTACCTTTTCCTAATTCTTATAACTGAAAAAAGATAAAGACTGAGCTAAATCGAGATCAAAGATAATCTACAATAGAAATGGATATTAGAAAGAAATCATTCGTCATCGCCTAATGATTATGCGCAATGAACGTTCCCCCGTTTCAGAGCACACCGTGCAAACACCCAGTGATAGTGCTCCAGGATGTAGCGTTCAGCGACTTGCATGCCTTAGTGGAGTTTATATATCATGGCGAGGTGAACGTGCATCAACGTTCTCTCAGTAGTTTTCTGAAGACGGCGGAGGTCCTCAGGGTATCGGGCCTCACGCAACAGACCGACCAAACCGACAGAGATGAGGTACGTTTTTTTTTTCGAACGCAATTATGGGGGGAAGGGAGGGGGGGACTGAAAGCGGAGTAATTCCGGTGAGTTTCGGACTTTGATGCTGCAGGCACGTGAGAACGTTGTGCTCGCTGTGTTTACGAGTGACAATGGAGATGCAACAGCTGGCGTAAGATTCTATCTTCGTTCCAATTTTCTTGACCGTGTCTGTAGCACATTTGAAATCGAACACCGTAATTATGTACGGTTTGTTAAAAATGCATGTAAACGCGTAGTTTAACGTGCGTGTATGTGTGTGTGTGTGTGTGTGTGTGTGTGTGTGTGTGTGTGTGTGTGTGTGTG